ACTTGAAGACATTCTAATATATAATTGCAGTGTAATAGTTATTTTTAGTTTTATACATAAAATAAACTTTAGAGTAAAGGTCTGCAAAAAACGAAAATACTTTTTACTAAAATACTATTTTAAATAATCTACAATGACTTTAAAATATTAAAGTTCAATGTTATTTTACAATTATCAAACCAGATTTCTACTTTATAATAAATGATAGATTAGTATTCATACCGTATTTGACATTTTATGAGACCCATTCATTACATGCAAAATTAGTCTTTTAGAAATTTGTAATAAATTCACACTAAAAAAGTAACATATCTTGAAAAAAAATTAAATTTTTGAATGAAAATTTAAATCCATTCCAATGCCTAATAGTCATAGTCTTTTAGATTTGGAGTAAAATTATATAAAAAATGAAAATACTTATAATCTACTCTAACATTTTTTTTTTTTAATTATCATTATTATTACTATTTTTATTATTATTATTATTATTATAATATTAAATAATAACAATAATACTATTATTATTATTATAATAATAGTAGAGCCTTGTTCTTTAGCTGTGTACATCTTTGGAGTAAAAGCCTGTAATGAAAATGAAAATTCTTTTAATGTCGCCTAATCCAATTACATCTGCCTTTTATTTGTGTTTGTTGCTCTGATCCTTGTTGATAAAAGTTCATACATTCTAACATCAAATGTTCTGTTTGCAGTAACATATTGCCAAGTGTCATTAAACGTACATGTAAGATTTGTTTAGAAATCAGTTCACATTTTCATGACATATTTTAGCTAAAAACCGCAGGTGCTAAAAACTGAAATGACTTTCACAAATTTCTTTAGAGAATGGAAAAAAAGAAGAAATATTTTTCTTTCCAAATTTTAAAAGAATAATCATGATTTAATTGTAAATACTATGAATCTAACTGCAATTTCAAGAATCGTTAATCAAAATTTGATTTAATTCTAAATTAATTTAATCCCAATTTAAAAGGTTGAAATTGAATAAAAATCATCACAGTACATTTGAAACAGAAATGTGATACTTTTGTCGATTCCATATTTAATTTAATTTAATCGAATTGAGAAAATGCCAAACATATTAAGATATTTCTAAACGTGAATTTACAATCAAATGAGCATTTTAAATATTCCATAATCTGATTTCGAAAAACAAAATTCAAGCCATCACTTACTAAAAGGGTAGAACTTTTAACAAAATGATCAGCAATGATTCATTCTTGTGCTACAGATCAGTTGCAAAAGAGAACTATTTTGTACCAACTTCAAAATTATTGAAATGAAGTGTGGCGGGGGTGGGGGGTCAAATGATAATACGAGATTTAATTATTATTATTATTTAACATTTTATTTATACTAATATTCCCTTATTTACTCTGTCTGTAATGTGAGCCCCTGCCATCATCTGACACCCCAATCCAACCTGCAGGCCCTACACCCTTTCATCTGCAGTGTGCAAGAAGCTACCTGAATCACCTCTGGAGCAATTTCTTAAATATCCATCTGTCCAATATTCTGGTTCATGCTCTTGCAATACCAGATACAGATGTGAGGGTATGTATTTCTGGATTTGGTAACCTGGAGTAACTCCAACTCATCCCTGTACATAGCTTCCTCTAACAGTCTGGCATAAAATTTGAATGCAATGTCTATTCCAGCATATTACCACATTGTCCACCACCTGGAGAAGATGTATGTATATTTTGGATCTGAGTCCTAGTCTTGATAAAGCCAGGATTTTCAAAGCTGTCAGTGCATTCACGTTCTGGTAAAAGTTGCAATATCTACCAGTGATAAATATGTCTTGAAACCTTTTACTATGGAGAATGCATTAGAGCCTTCAGATCATATGCAGACATGTCTATCAAAACCAGTTGCATCCAGGTTTTCTCCATTAGCAGCAGAACAGCTTGGCATGTTCAGATATGGGCCTCTGTAACTTATCTAGAAATGTTTTTCTCAACTATCACCTTTCAATAAAAGCAACGAGAAAACTAGCAGTTGGCAAGACTCAGCATCTTTTGAAGTCAGACCCATGGGCATTTTGTTCCTAAAGTTGCTGTACCTTCTAAGGTAGTTACTTATTTTGTTACGTCTCTTTCCCTTCTCTGACTATTAAAACTGTACTTCTTGGGAAAACAGATGTCTCTTCAAACCTCAACACACCATTGCCTTATTTTACAATTACATTCTCTATATTTTAAGAAAAGAGCAATTTGAAACCTTCTGATAAGTCGACTAAATAATTACAAAAAGACTTGTCTATGAAACTCTGGAGTTGGGGTGTTGAATATAACATCAGTCAGCTAAGTGACAAATTTTATATTTCTATTAATTCTGTAATAATAAATAAACATTTATGGTGAACTCTTTTATAAAATGACATAAAAGACTTTCAGTTCCATCAGTAACTAGAATCTGCATAGATTTGTTTCCCTGTGAAAATAAATTGAGTTGATAAAAGTTAAAATTTAGAGCAGCAAAATTTTTCATTCATGTTAGCCACTAAATGGTTACTTTAAATTTCTGTTGTAATTTTGATAAGCAAGTAGGCTTAGAACTTGAACCTGAAATGCTAGATGTTATTTCTTGAAAACATTTGAGGATTCATATTAGAATGAACTAATGCTGACACTTTACAATCCTTCCTTTATTCTGGAATTCCTTAGTGGAATCTTTATTCTGCCAACATTTCTACCCAATAAAGAATAAAAAAAAAACTAAGTGGAACATTGCCAGCAAATATTTTGAAAAAGAATTTTTTCTTCACTGCTCTAGCAATTGGCACCCCCACATTGGAGATATGATTAACAATTAATTGTTTTTATTCATTTCATTCATATCTAGTACTGCACTTAAATTTATAGACTCTAGGTACCATCGTAGTTACCATGAAATTATTTATAGAAAAGGAACAAAGAAGCTACATTATGGCAGTGGAAAAGTGACTGAAGCTGGAATGTCAGGTTAGGACCAATAACATTACAGAATTGTTTTTCTACTGTAAAGTATTTAATATTTGTATATAATATTAATTTTAATTTATTTTGTTTAAATGTTATTTTTGATGGATGCACATGTTTAAACAGAAGCTCTGTTTTTTAAACAGTTTGAACACACAGCCTTCTGATATGTTATAACAGAAAATGAAAGTAGCTTTTTAGCAGTAGACTTGACTGAAAAATATCTTTGCTATTGATGATTGTTATGATATATCAACTGATTGATCTTAGGAAATGTAAACTTTGTGACTGTTAGTTCAAATGACTGATTTAATTGTAAGTCGTCCTTACATTTTATGCATAGAGTCCATTACACATTGAATTCTGTTTTCAAATTCATTAGGTATGAATCCACCTTTTCTCCTCCCAACTATGGGTTAATTAGTAAAAACGTGTATCACTAAATCATTATCTCAAATTCTGTTTTCAAATTCACTAAATTCTAAATTGGAAGAAAATAAATATTCATTTGATCATTAACAAAATTCTCTGGGTTTTAATTTTACCCCAAATGTGGAACATCTGTAGTATCTAATATACAAAAAAAAAAGTTGGGGTTAATATTTAAAACCCTAAATCATCTGACCTTATCATGTTGAGAAAAATAACAGGAACAATGTTTTTGATAATGCATAACCTTTTGATCTTATCCTTTGATCTGTCCATTTTTATTAGCCCCAGAGACTTTTTTTTAGATTAGATTTATGACAGTCACTTCCTTTAGTATTAGGACACATGGCACAGTGGATAAAAGTGTTGGTTAGATCCAGTGACAGGAACCAAAGAGTGTGAGTTCAATACCTGGTTAAGGTGGTGGAGAACTTGGAGAGGGGAATTAAGCAGGAGATAACTGATAACTGACTTCCATTAGGCATGGCACGTGGAACTAGAACAGTCTATCCCAGTGACCAAAATAAAGGGTTCAATCTGACATTCTAACCACCTGAAGAAGGCCAGAGTGTACAACGGCCAAAATGTTGTAATAAATATGGCGACAAAGATGAGGACAATAGTCCAAATAATGTAAATAGTGTGCATAATACCTCATCTCAGAAATATAGACAGATACTAAAGAAGGCCAGAGCATGCAATGGTCGAAACATTGTAATAAATATTGCGACAAAGATGAGGACAATAGTCATGTCATTTATTAGATATCCTTCAATGTCTGACCCTTAATTTTTTTCATCACATTTGCTCACATATTCTGCCAGCATTTCTTTTATTGGCTTTATCATGTAGACTCAGCATATGATAGATCTTCAATAGGAGTGGATAGGTTCGCCTATCGTCCGGTCTTTTGAAAAGGAGTAGTGGTTTATCCCTTGTTTTCTGTTTAGGCTTGAGCTTCCAGTTGCTTCTAAAGTCTGCTTCAGCTCTGTACTCCTAATGTCTACACCTCTGAAATTTTATTTACTATTTATTTCATTTTATTTTTTTTTCTCTCCTTCACCAAAAGGAATAGATAGGTTTGCCTATCATCCGGTTCACACTCCTTCCCAGTCTTTCGGACAGTAGAGGTTTATTCCTTGTTTCCTGTTTAGGAATGGGTTTCCAGTTGCTTCTAAAGTCTGCCTCAGTTCTGTATTCCTAATGCTTGTTCTTTCCTACACAAATATAAGTCCACACAGTAACCTTCTACTTTGACTGGCTCTTGGGACTTGTATTGGGTGAACATTAGTAAAAAAAAAAAGAAGTCAATTGAATATCAAATTCTCCAAGCCTTCTTTCCTCATGTATCCAAGAAATTTCAACTGTCTTCTTCTGATTCTAAATATGTCTTTGTTTTCATTTTCCTTAAAACTTCCGAGCATTGTAATTTGTATTATAACACAAATTCAGATCATGCAAATTCTAGGACATTCCTACTCAAAGATTCGGATACCCATTGAGAATCTTGCACTCTGATCATTTTCAAATCTGTATATGTTTTAATTTCTAAATGCAATATTTTATTTCTTTTTTTTTTCCTTTTTTCAGTTTACTTTCAATGATGTGATGGAAAGACTCTATCCTACAATCTTGAGAGAATTTGATGATTTAATTGGACCTAAAGACATCGTTAATTGCCATGATGGAGAAATAATTATCCGCTATGTACAAGACAACAAAGGTTTGCATTTAAAAGATGCAATCAAGGTTAGTATTAAAATTTTATTTGACATTTAATCTGATAAAAGAAGGGTTAATTCTCTTTAGGCACAGTTCATATGAAAAAAAAGGTCATGTATGTTTGTCCAAATCCTACTCACTTGGAGGAATCCTTCTTCATGTCTTCAGGGATATAAGTGCACTCACCAAGCTTGACCAATTGCAGATTTGTGAAGTTATTTAACCAATAGTTGGGGTTCATTCATCCTTTAATAGCTCTTGTTTTTTTCTGCTGGTGGTGTTACCTTCCATTATTTTTAATCCTTTTTTCTTTCTTTTTTCTTTTCATCCATTATTTTTAATCTTTTTCTTTCTTTTTTTCTTTTCATCCATTATTTTTAATCTTTTTTTCTTTCTTTTTTCTTTTCATCCATTATTTTTAATCTTTTTTTTTACAGGTGGATGAGGTTATTATGTTTGTGTTTTCTCCGAGTATATTTCGAACAGAGTCTTGTAAGTTTGTGTGTGTGTGTGTTTAAATGGGTTCTAATGGAGCTGTGGCCAGATAGGTGTAACACAAGACATCTGGATAGGCATGTATTGGTGTGACAGATGTAATTATTTATGAATACAATTTGATCAGGAACACAGTCCTTATGGGGCATTTGAACACATAAACAATGTTCATTCATTGTAATTTTGACTTTGTTGATGTGTTGGTATTTTTGAGGATAAGGTTCGCTGTTTTAAATTTTTTCTAGTAAGTAATTAATTTGAAAACAGACATAACCTCATGCACCTGTAAAAAGAGATTGAAAATAATGGAAGCCCTAATAATAAAAGAAAAATCCAACATAACAATATTAACTACAAATAAGGCCACAAATATACTGTGTTTGGGAAAATATATATATATATATATATATATATATATAAAGTGAACATAAAGTCAACACTTAGAGGTGACAGTCTGTTTCATGCTATATGCAATGTTGCATATAGCATTTACACACGCTCTATCTCTGATATTGAGCACTTTATCCCATAAATATGCACACCATAAAACTATTTTTCTTATATATATATATATATATATATATATATATATATATATATATAAGCTTTCACAGTTAAATTTCTATTTCTGACATGAACTTAGTCTATACCAGGGTTGAATAAGACTGACAAATTATATTTTCATTGGTCAAAATAAACTTCTTCTCCATATAAGGTGATTTGGTATATTACTGTAAATAAATATATTGCAGTCTTTTTGTGGATCAGTTTTAATATTTTATATGACTAGGATGCACTTTCAAAACATGGTCAAGATGTTTTGTCCATGTTCATAGTTGATGTTATTAAGTGTTTTGAAAAATGAAAACATTATATAAATACATACATGCAACAAATTATTATGCCTAAGTACACAAATCTACTATATATATATATATATATATATATATATATATATACATATAATGGCCTGACCAGTGAAGCACTTTTCAGGAGCTATGATATTTTTGGTGTGATTTGTGTTTTGTTTTTAATTTCCCAAATATACTTGGAAAGCATTATACTGTTTGTATATTTACTATTTGTGAAAGATGTTTTGTGTGCATAGTTTCTATGTTTCCAGGGTCCTTCAGTTACTTCTATGTATCCTTTTTCTTCATTATCTGGTGATTTTACCATGGCTTGGTATATTACATTGTTTTGTAATCAATTACCGTTTAAGGGACATTTATTTTTTATTCTACAGTTACTCGTGGATTTAATTTGTTCATGTGTTGATAGTTTTCCTGTTGTGCTTTTTTATTATTTGTGCCATGTTCTCGGTAAAACTGCAACTGATTTTTACATTGTTTTTATTGAATATTTTGTGTAAAGTCCTTGATTCCAGGAAGTGTTTAAGAGTTTGAAGAACATTTAAACTACATTTGTTTTTACATTTTTGCTGTATGGTGGGTTGCAAAAATAACCACCAGAATACATTACGCACAATACACCACTGACCCATATATATATATAAATAGTCAACTAAAGATCAAACATTCATGTCCTGACGATTGCGTCTAACATGAATGTCACCTCCGAGTGTTGACTTCAGTGCTCACTTTTATATTTATATTTACATACACCCGATCTATTATATTGAGCACTTTATCCCATAAGTATATCACACCTTAAAACTGTATTTCTGTATATATATATATTAACAGTATCGAGATGTATATATATATATATATATATTAACAGTGTCGATAGATATATATATATATATTAACAGTATCGATGAATAGATATATATATATATATATATTAACAGTATCGATAGATATATATATATATATATATATATATATTAACAGTATCGATAGATATATATATATATATATATATATATATATATATAATAGTATCGATATATATATATATATATATATATATATATATATATATATATATAGATATATATATATATATATATATATATACAGTATCTATATTGATATATATATATATATATATTAACAGTATCTATATAGATATATATATATATATATATAACAGTATCGATAGATATATATATATATATATATATATATATATTAACGAAATATAAATAGATATATATATATATATATATATATATTAATAGTATTGATATATATATATATATATATATATATATATATATATATATATATATATATATATATATAGTACAGTATTGATATAGATATATATATATATATATATATATTAACAGTATCGATATATATATATATATATATATATTAACAGTATCGATAGATATATATATATATATATTAACAGTATCGATAGATATATATATATATATATTAACAGTATCGATAGATATATATATATATATTAACAGTATTGATATAGATATATATATATATATATATATATATATATATATTAACAGTATCGAGATATATATATATATATATACGCTGGTGAAGATAAGTTTAAGACTGATGGTTAAAGTTTTATTCATTTCAGAATATGTTTCTAATAAAACAATATAAATTAGTTTTATTGTGTATGCTTAATGCAGAATTTAATTCTTTTTGAAATGGTGTAAAAATTGTATATTTTTCTCCAACTTTCAAAACTTTATTGCTGGATTAATTAAATTATCCAAATTTCCAGACAAAATAAGTTTAAGACTGCATGAGTCTTATGCAAATTATTTGCTAAATGTGTGATCAAATGGCTGGTCATTAAGTATTATATAGCATAATAACTGAGCATTGTTATACAATTAATTCACTATGGGAAAGTGTTGTAGTCTTAGCCCAGTGACTACATCAAAAATAGTGGTACTTTATCAACAAAACGTTTCTTTATGAATATAAGCAAGCAATTAAAGTGCAGAAAAACAGCTTGTATTCAGGCTTGGAAGCTTTACTAGGATCAGTCATTTATGTGCCATGCAAGATACACGCTTAGGCAATCATGCAATTTTCAATAATGATGAGGTAGATTCTTTCCTGCAGTAGGTTGCCATTTCTTTTGACAGTAGACCAGTTGCCATCCAAGGCTATAGAACCCGGTCTGTCCTGCTATTTACCCATAGCTGGGGGGAGAAGAAGAGGATTCATACCTTTCTCAAGGGTATCAGCCCATAAATGAATGTAATGGATTTGACGAATTCAAACTTGGCTCTCCAATTCCTCATCCATTACTCCACCCTGCCCCCTCCTAGGATACTGGACAATATAAGGATAGACAAAAATCTGGAGCCCCAAGGAAAACAACAGTGCAACTGAATAGACGAAATCATAGGCTTTCCCAAGCTAACCAAATGCTGATGGCTGAAATTTGCAGCCAATTGCCTGATAAAACTGGCATTAGTTTATATACCACAAACTGTCTGAAACCATCTAAGAGAATTTGGATTATTTGCATGCATTGCTAAAAAAAGCTAATTATTTCAGAGAGGAATCAACTTAAAGAGCTGAATTTTGTGAAAATTCACATTCAATGAACTGCCGACAACTGGTGTAGAGTTCTTTGGAGTGACGAGTCGAACTTTTGCATCTTTGGATCGGATGAAAAAACCTTTGACAGATGCCACCCAACCGAGGAATTCCATCCTAAATGTGTCAAAAAAAACGGTGCAAGTGGGAAGCAGTGGTGTAATGGTGTGGGGTGTGTTCAGTAGCTTTCATATTGGTCCAATTGTTAAAGTTGATGGAAAACTCAACAGTGTAGGCTATATGCAGCTAGTTAAGGAACATGTTCTGCAATATTTGACTGACCAAATGCCACCTTGAGTTATTTATCAACAAGATAATAGTCCCATTCACAAAGCCAAAAATGTAATACAATTTTTTGATCACCATAATATGGAGTTCATTGAGTGGCCTCCACAGAGTCCAGATCTTAATCTGATTGAAAATTTATGGAATTATATTTCTCAAAGAGTTCATGCAAAAAAAAACCCGACAAATTTTGCCCAATTATTTGATTATATTAAGCAAATATGGCAGAACATTCCAAATGATTTTGTGCTCACTTATCAAGCTCAATGCTGAGGTGATGTGAATCTGTAATTAATAATAAAGGTTACAGCACTAAATATTGATAAATATTTCTTTTTCTCATTTTTTTACTATAACATTTTGCTTTAAATATAATAATACCCATGTGGACTTAAACTTGTTTTACCGGCAAATTTAAATTAATTCAGCATTAAAATTTTTCAAGTTGTAGAAAAATCTACAATTTTTACATCATTCGAAAGAGAAATAAATTCAGCATAAAGCGTACAAAATAAAAACGAATTTCTATTGTTTTATTAGAAACTTATTCTGAAATGAATAAAACTTAAACCATCTTAAACTTATTTTCACCAGTGTGTGTGTATATATATATATATATATATATATATATATATATACAAACAATCTATTTATCTATCTATCTATCTATCTATCTATATATATATATATATATATATATTAACAATCTCTCTCTCTCTCTCTATATATATATATATATATATATATATA